GCTTCGGCTTTGAGAGACGTTTGCCCCCTCTAAAAATTGAGATAGTGGGGAAGCGAAGGTGTGGGTGCGATCCAAGAAGAGATCCTGGGCTCTCAAAACCAAGTGTTATCAGTGCAATTGAGCCAGCGAGCGAGAATTGCACTATCGAAGAAAAACAATACATCAAGCGAAGGCATGAGAGAAGAATATGTAGCGAAGCTTAAGTGGTAACGGTAATGTGTGAAGACGGTAAACCCTAAACCCTAAACCCGAGGCTAGGAATTGTCGAGGCGGAGGCCCAGAGCGCGGAATACCAATCGTACCGTGAGGTTGGGTCGCGTCATGAACAGTGGCGGGAACAGTAGTCGAGGCGAGTGTCGAGAGTGGTAACGGTGCATTGTTGAGAGTTGTTGGGGGAACTGTGGTATACGCGCTGAGGAGGGACGTGAAGGAAAAGGATTTTCCCTTACAAAAACTCGTATGGTTTGCCTCATCGCATCTCACCCAACCGTTAGTTGTCGCACTAGAAACCGAGCATCAATTTCGCAACGTGACTGACCCCCTTTCGCTTGCTCCGCAGCAATTATGGAGCAGAGAAGAGAAAGTCGCACGCACCATGCCTGCAACGCCCATGAGCTAATCACCTCACGTGTAAGGATTTAAAAAATCCTTACTGGGGCACTCGTTAGCGAGGCCATCCCGAGGGTCACGCGACGAACCTGTCCTTCCTATTTCGTCGCACCGAACCACTCCCGAGTCGCCTCCGCACCAATCGCAAACATCACCAAGCCATCCTCGCCCAACCTCTGCGCCTAGCTAGGACTTCCCCTATTTAGTCGTGCTTTTTTCATTGTATCGGCATTCAATAATTCAGTAATCAGTTCATTCTCGTTATTCGATATTCTGCGCACTCTGCAAGTTCATTCATAACACCTGGTATCAGAGCTACTTTCCTAGCTCACCCCGCTTCTTAGAGTGTAATACCCCTCCGGGGGGGGACGAGGAAGGATGCCTTGGGGTCCAGGAGTTGCGTAGGCCGGCCAGGAGAACTAGTTAGTTGCTCGTCGCGGCGATGTTTTTACGGGCACTCCTTCGGCACCGCCAGATCCTTGCCTCGAACGGTCGCGATCGACCGTGGCCTCCCTCCCCCCGGGCAACGGACAGCTGTAGCTGTCGCGACATTACTGTTCCGCTGCGGTTTTAACGACGATTTCGGAATTTTGTGAGGCAGCTCGCGTCAGCGGACCTGCGTCGGCACCTGCACGAAATTCGCGGAAGTGGTCAGCGTGTGTGGCAGTTGACGCCGTCGGACCTGGGTCAACAGTTGCGCGACAACTTCGGAGTCGTCCCATGCGGCAAGTGACAACAGTGGCTCGTCGTCATTTTGCGCGCGTGACTCATGGAGTGTGGCTCAGCAGCAGGCGACAAGGGACGTGCGTCACTGTGGCGATAATTTCGGAGCTACTGTGGAGAAAAAGTCGGCTCGGGAACTCGCCAGGCGCAAATGGAGTTTTGCGTCTGAAAAAGCTGGTGACGAGGAGAGACGCCACGAGGACTGCCCGATTTATGCGGGAGTCAACTGCCGTCCCGCCCGACGTGTTAAGTGCAGCGGCCTTTACTGCATTGGCGGGCGCGTCATCAACGTTTTCGGCAGAAGTGCACGTGGACAGACGGGATTTTCGGACCCGCCGACACTTACGGGCTGCAACGAAAAGCGGAGTGGCCATATCGCACTTAGCAGAAGTGGGGCGCAGGCGACGAGGGAAACCGGGGCCGGTAACCTTGGAAAACGACTCGTGCGACGCTACGTGACTGGAGTTGTTGCAAGCTGGAAGGCAGTTTCGAGAGCGGTTTCTCCTACCAGAGAAGTTGTTTTCAAGGACAGCTGCAAGCGACCCACGATTAAACGACGTTCAACGTACTGCCCCGACATTTACGGAGGAGTCGGTACAGGCCGCCGGGACACACGGGAAGAAACTGCCCGACGGCTAAGCGGGGGTCGAGAAACGGCGTGAAGGGCAGGTTAAAAGCCGGTGTGAACGGCCTGTGACCTTCCGTCGCCCGAACCTCACCATCCCCACCAAGTTTTAGTTCTGACTCATGCAGTCAACTTACTTGGCCGAATAACGGGGGTGAACACGGGCCTACCCTGCGCTGGTTAAAGGCACCTGGGTTGGTGCTCGTTCGACAGCTGTACAGAAAAAAAATGGGAGTTGCGGCACTGTTCTACTCCGACAAAAGCGGGCTGGGTGAAACAGCACGCGAAAAAATCGGGGCGCCGCATGACAACAATGGTGCAGTTCGCTGGTTTCTCCTGACCCGGGCGTCTACACGAGGTGACGGCGTAGCGGGGACCGGGATGCTGTGGAGTTTAGTGGCGTGACGGTCGCGGTGGGCTGCAAAACGGTTGGGCGACAGTTCCTTTTAAGTAAGGGTCCCCGACTCCGATAGTTTTTGCCCCTCCACCGTAGCTGGGCTCGCGCGGGCAACACCGACTATGCCCCATCCGACAAAAGCGGACGCTGGGTGAACGGCGGGAAGCAGAATTGTCAAGGGGTGAAACGACAAAAAAAATATGAAGCTGCGGGTATTTCTTCGCTTCTTGGAGTGCGGTTGAGTCGTTGGGGGACCTCGCGTGAAGGGCACTTTTCGAAGTTGCCTGGCAAGAAACACAGCGACAAGGAGACCTAGGACCCCCGGTGTTTAAACACACACCTTGGGAAATTCTTCAGAAAAAAGGGAGCGCGGGAGCAGTCGTAGCTTCGGGAACTTATCGACCGGCGACGAGCGATGCGGTGAAACATCTGCAAAGTTTTGGTGGGAGAAAGGGGTTATTTTGTTAAGTAACATCGGCGGAAGCAGTTTTCGACTACGACGTCAACGGCGTTGATGCCACTAGGTTCCGTGAAATTCGGTCTCGGAATAACCCATGGCAGTCCCCGGTTCTCGATTGTACCCACATGCTGGGGTCGGGTAAACCAAAGGAAACTGATGGTGACCGAGTGGGCGGCTATAGCACGTCTGAGATTTTCGAAGGCGAACTGCTACTGCAACTGCATCAGTGGATTTTCGGGGCTGTGTTGAAACGACATTTTCGGAGTTTACGCGGGACTGCACAGGTTTTTACGGCGAGAAGCGGCAACAATTTCGGAGGAGAATTCGGCGTTTGGTTAAACGCGCGCGACATCTACGCTGGGCAACACCGCCGGCACTACACGGAGTTTTCAAGGGGTACGAACGACTTACGACGAACTGAAGAAGGCGGCGACAACAGTGACGGGGGGGAGCGACAGCTGTAAAATTTCATCCCTGCCCTCGAACTCTCGGCGCATTACGACAATTTTTCGGATGAACCATTCCAACTCTGCTACCGACCACTCGCCTTCGACCCGCCCACGACAAGTGCATTCAATATCAACCACGTCAGGTGCTGCCAGCTGCATCTGCTGAAGATACTGCATGATTCTGGCGTGTGAAGACAAAAACAGGTTCAGTTCGAGCAACGCATAATTTCTGCCGCGGTTTCTGGTCTACTTACGCGGGTTCGCCCTTGAAGACTTTTTGGGGCACGTAAACCTGGGTTCGCCATCGACATTTCCACACCGACGACATTTCGCCTGGACTTTTACATCCGACGCTCTTATTCGTGGGACTTAACGCCTGGCTTTTTGTTGGTTTTCATCTCGGCGTAGCTGTGACACATTTTCTGGTGTGCTTTCTTGGAAGGGGGGAGAAAGTGCTTTGCACTGTTCTTTCCTTGGCGTTTTTCGAGGTCCTTTCTGACTTTGTCAGGTTGCGTCAGCACGACGGACGATCGCGATCACACCGACACGATCAACGGTCCCTGCTCAATCGCGTTTGAATTCGCGTCAGCAGGTTCCCTCCAATCTCGCGTCAGTCTTCGACCGTCAGATCCACATCTGCTTCATCAACGGCCTACATTCCAACCTTCTCAAAATTATTGTCAAAGGCATTTTCGGCCGTCGGATTCAGCTGAAGAGGAGATATAAGTAATCCTCGCTAGTGTGGGGCCTGTTTCAGTACAGGACTGCCTTATTTAGAAGGTGGGAGAGTGTAAGGATTTACAGAATCCTTAATGGGGCACTCGTTAGCGAGGTCATCCCGAGGGTCACGCGACGAACCTGTCCTTCCTATTTCGTCGCACCGAACCACTCCCGAGTCGCCTCCGCACCAATCGCAAACATCACCGAGCCATCCTCGCCCAACCTCTGCGCCTAGCTAGGACTTCCCCTATTTAGTCGTGCTTTTCTCATTGTATCGGCATTCAATAATTCAGTAATCAGTTCATTCTCGTTATTCGATATTCTGCGCACTATGCAAGTTCATTCATAACATCACGTGTTCCTTCGTCGCATTACGCTAGGTAACCAGACCTTATTGTAGCCATATCCTAGAGTAGGCAGACACTCGAGTACTCTCTTGCTCACAGAGTCACACCCGGGTAAAGGTTGCTACGCCCGCCCGCCATGGCGGAGCGCCTCGTCCCGCTGAAGCGCCTTCGCGCGCTCGCCTCATCGCAGGCGGCAGGCAGCGGCGGCGGTTCCGCCGCCGGCAGACACGGCGCGGGCGGGGGAAACAGTGGCGGAGGCAAGACAGGCGGTAGCGGAGTTGGGACGGGCGAAAGCGAGCGGCAGGCTAAAGTGGTCCTTTCAAACGAGGCTCTTTCCATGGTGCGACGGTCGGTCGGTTGGTCTGGGGCAGGTCACTCCTGAAAGATGTTTGTAAGGATTTTGGTTCGAGGCACGTCGGACTTGACCTCTGCGGTTTGAACCTCTTTGAAGCGGTTCTAGCGTTCAGAGCCTCAGGGTTCGGGGGTCTGGCGGGGTTTCGGGGGTTAGTTGGATTACGGATGAGGCATGAGGGTTGATGTTCCAGCAGACTATACGTCGCATGGCACCCACTGTACTCTCACCATCATTTGGTACCAGCCAAGGGTCTATACGCCACGCCACGCCACGCCACACTGTTCTTTGGTATCCAACGCAGTCGCTTGGTATCAAATGATGGGTGCTCACGCAGCAGCAGCTGTGTGCTCACCCATGGAGTTCTGCCGTCACACAGCTCAACAGTTTCCCCTTGTTCTCAAGAACTTCTTATCGCCCCTCCCTCGCTCCTGGTGTCTTGCTCATCTCTTCGCCACCTTACCTCTGCTGAATGCAAGCCTTTTGTTCTGCCCTTCACGTCCCCTTTTCTTTGCCCCACATCCCTTCCCTTCCCTTCCGTTCCCTTTTCCCCCCCCCTTTCCCTTTTCTTCCCCACTTTCCTTCCCTTTCCTTCCCTTCCCTTCCCTTCCTTTCCGATCCCACTACATCCCTCCCTTTCCCCTTTCTAATCTTCCCCCCTCTTCCCTCCCCTGCACACCCCGGCCCTCCACGTTTCATGTGTGCTGCCCGCACCTCGTGTGAGCCCAGGCACAGGGACAGGCACAGGGACAGGCACAGGCACAGGGACAGGCACAGGCACAGGGACAGGCACAGGGACAGGCACAGGCACAGGGACAGCCATGGAGGCAAGAGCATCCAGCCTCGTGTGCGCCTGCAGTGAAGCGCAGGAATACAGCACGCCCACTCCATCCAAACTCCCCCTTTGCCACCCCTTGCATCCCCCTGATTCTCATTGCTCCTCCGTGTCACCCCTGCCGTGCCATGCCAGGCCCAGCGCATGCTGGGACAGATGGCAGGGCACAGGGGGGAGGGGGGCGACGGTGCAGAGGCTGTGATTGATGCTGGAAGAGGGGATGCTTATAACGGGGATGCGTTCAGAGAGTCGGAGATGACCGGTGGGGATGCGTTGGAGGCGATGGCTCGTCCACCCAGGTATGCACATTGGTGATTTCAGGTTACGGGTTTCGGGTTTGAGGTAATGGGTTTAGGGTTACGGGTAGGATTGTGGGTTTAGGACTACAGACTTAGGGTTACCAAGAGGGTTCAGGTTATGTGTTTGAGGTATGCACTTCGGAGGTTAGGTTTAACGATACGGGTTTAAATTATGCGTGTTGGTGGGGGGTGAATGGACTTGTTGAGACACCCTTATTGCTTCCCCCACATTCCTCTCCCCTTTCATTTCCCCTCAGCCCATAGGCCTGAAAACCCATTCTTCACCCCACAGAACCGCTGTTGCTCACAGTGCTCCCAGCCCCCACGCCTTCCACTGGCACAAGGGTTGATGCCCCAGCAGTACCTTGCCCCTTTGTTTCACACTGCTCCCTGGCCCTTTCCCACCTCCATCATCCATCGCCTATCCTCATCCCTTCCCCCCATTTCCTTCCTCCATCCCCTCCCGTCATCCCCTTCCCCCATCCCCTCCGCCATCTCAATGCCCCGGCCCCTTTCTCCATCCCTTCCTCTCATCCCTCGCCCCAACCCCTCCCTTGGCCCAACCCCTCCCCCCATCCCTCGCCCCATTCCCCCCCTCATCCCTCGCCCCATTCCCCCCCTCATCCCTCGCCCCATTCCCCCCCTCATCCCTCGCCCCATTCCCCCCCTCATCCCTCGCCTCATCCCCCCCCCATCCCTTCCTTTGGCCCCTCCCCTCAGACTGGGCCTGGGCGCTCGCTTTGTCTCGCACAGCCAAGCCATGGGCGCTGGGGGCACTGGGGGAGGAGGAAGGGGAGGGGGAGGGGGAAGAGGATGGGGAGGCAGGGGGGGAGGAGGGGGAGGGGGAGGGTGGGGGGAGGGAGTGGCACAGTCAGCTGCACGGACTGCTGCTGCTGTGGAGGAGAGATTGGGGGCTAGGTTGGCTGGGAGGGGGAAGTGGGGGGTTAGGGGGAGAAGGGAGGAGGAGGAGATAGTGGGAGGAGTGGGAGATGGGGATGGGAGTGACGATGGCGGGGAGGAGGAGAGCCGGGCAGGGCGGTTTGGGAGGAGGGGCAGCACAGGCAGTAGTGTGGAGGCAGCTGTTGGGAAGAAGCGTAAGAGCAAAGGGTAGATACCGTCATCGCCAGGGCTCTTGCTAACTTTTAGGCCCGTCTGACGTTTTCAAAAAAAAAAAAAAAAAAATCGTCTGGCCCTCATATGGAGGATTCATGGTGGTCTTTGCCTCAGACGGATTTTCTAAGTTAGTATGTCCGCTCAGACAGATTTTTACGAAATCAGACATTTATTCAACTATGTAGTCTACTCTACACACAGACTATACTCTATTACTACAGATAACCATACAAAAAAAACGAACTAGGATTCACTATCGCTATCATGAGAATAATCTTCCTCATCGTCCCCGTCTAGCTCTGAATCTGAAGCCATGTGCGCTTTGCCGTGGCCTGCCCGTCTCTGCTGTTGGGCTGAAACGCCCTAGGATCTTTGTACCGTAAGCCCCCGGATAGAAGCGCAGGCCTCGGATAAGCGCCGGCGCTTATAAAAGGATGAGGGCGCTTATATCCGGTCCTCGATTATAAGCGCACCCCTGAAGGCTTACGGATTATAAGCGCCACCCTCTTCTTTTTTATTATAATTTTACTGAAATCGTTGTAACGAAACTCAATATTTTCATTCCCACATTTTGAATTTCGATGCCCCCTCACCCTCGCCCGGCTCACTGGCAACGCGTCCAGTCAGAATGAGCTGTCAAGGGCGCACGTTGACTCATTCTGACTGTGTGTGTTGGCAGGGAATCAATCCTTGCCAACTTGCATGCGAGATTCTCAATCGAGCCCTGTATAGTTTCTGTCAGAATATTATAGCTTACTTATTTGTGTAGGCTATAGTGGGGTATCCCATAGGGGGTACAACCCAGTTAGGGTTTCCTATTTGTACTCACTTCGTTCATAGTCATTTCATTCCCTCGTTCACTTCTTCTCATGGAATCAGAGCAGGTTCCCCTGTGGGAACTGTGCTTAGGGCCCACCACCTAATTTTTTTTTTTCTGCCCTAGCGCCTTAGTGCCCTAGCGCCCGCCCTAGCGCCCGCCCTAACGAGCACCCTAGCGCCCACCTCGGCGCCCGCCCTTTCGAGCCGCCCGTTAGCGCCGCCCGTTAGCGCCGCCCGTGCGGCCGCCCGTTCGCGCCGCCCGTTAGCGCCGCCCGTTAGCGCCGCCCGTTAGCGCCGCCCGTGCGGCCGCCCGTTCGCGCCGCCCGTTAGCGCCGCCAGTAGCGCCGCCCGTGCGGCCGCCCGTAGCGCCGCCCGTGAGCCGCCGCCCGTAGCGCCGCCCGTGAGCCGCATGTGGAAACAAAGAACGAGAATGGAATGACTATGAACGAAGTGAGTACAAATAGGAAACCCTAATTGGGTTGTACCCCCTATGGGATACCCCACTATAGCCTACAGAAACAAGTAAGCTATAAGTTCTGACACACCCCCATAGGCAAAGTGGGGGAGAACAAGGGGTCACAAGACCAGTCAAGCAAAGCAAAGCAAAGCTCAGGGTGGATCACAAAGTCACCACGCATTCCGAGCACAAGTTCAAAGGCCACAAGGCCAGTTCACATGCAAGAGTACACACATATATATAAAGCTAGACAAGCACAAGAGTATATATATGCGAAAGTACAAGCAAGGTCAAGAGGAAAGCAAGTGAGGCAAGACAGGCACAAGACCCAACTGCGTGCAGCAACGCTGATGATCATCAGCAGTGTTGGCCTCAGAGGCCACGTACGCAAGTCGCAGCTGTCCACGCTGCTGTAGCTCACGAGCAAGAAAGTAGCGAAGAGCAATGTGCTTCGTTCTGTGCTCCAGTCGCTGCTCTCGACACAAGGCCAGCATGGCCTTGTTGTCTACGTACAGGACTGGAGGAGAACGAGGCTGCTCTCCAAGGTCGGTCAGCAGGTAGGTGAGCCAGCGTAACTCCTGTGCAGCCATAGCCCCAGCGTAGATCTCAGCCTCACAACTGGAGCCGAGAACAGAAGACGAGCGGGTAGCCCGCCACGAGACAGAGCCGGAACCAAGGCTGAAGGTGTAACCCTGTGACGACCGCTGCGTAGCCTGGTCGTCAGCCCAAGAAGCGTCTGCGTGCCCAGTGAGGACCACTGGACTGCGCCCTCCAAGCACTAGCCCCATGCCCGACGTACTGCACAAGTAGCGCAACACCCTCTTCGCTGCAGCCATGTGCTCTGGTCGGTGTCTCCCAGGAGCAACAAAGCGTGCGAGAATGCTAAGAGGGTATGCGAGGTCAGGTCGTGTGCAGGTCATCAGGTACATGAGGCAGCCAACAAGCTCTGCAAACGGGCCACTCGACTCTACGGACTCATCCGAAGGCAGAGCTGAGAGCGAGTGGCGAGTAGGCAGAGGAGTGGCCTGAGGCGAGGAGTACGTGAAGCCGAAGCGCTGAAGGACCTGCTGCACCATGTGTGATTGAGTCAGGGTAATGGTGCGGCGTGCTCTGTCCCGGGTGATCTGCAAGCCAAGGTAGCTGCGCAGTTCACCCAGGTCAGTGCACGTGTGTCTCTTCTGCAGCTCGGACTTCACGTAGGCGAGTCCAGCAGTGTCAGCTGTGGCAAAGACCAAGTCGTCGACGTACACGAGGATGTAGAACGGCGGCAGAGAGGTGTCGGTGCGCAGAAACAGCGACGGGTCGGCAGTGGAAGGAGCAAACCCAAGTGCCGCGAGCGTAGTCCTCAGTGTGTCGTGCCACTCACGTGGCGCCTGGCGGAGACCGTAGACTGGACGCCGGAGACTCCACTGGGTACCAGGAGGGAAAGACCCAGTGAAGCCAGGTGGGCGACGCAGCCAGATCTCCTCGTGCAGGCTGCCCTGCAAGAAAGCTGTGCTGAAGTCGAGAGAGTGCAGCTCGTAGTCACGGTGAGCAGCAACGTGTAGCAGAACCCGAAGAGTGGTCATCTTCGGGGTGGGGGAGAAGGTCTGAAAGTAGTCAACCCCCTGCCGCTGACTGAAGCCACGAGCCACGTAACGCGCCTTGAAGACAGGCGGAGATCCCGGCGGCCGCTTCACCCTGAAAATCCACATGCCACTGACGATGTTCGCCCCAGGAGGGGGGACAGCATCAACGTAGGTGCCTGTGGACTTCCAGGAAGCCATCTCTGCATCCATAGCTGCCTGCCACTGAGAGGAGTAGGGACCCTCTATCGCCTCCGCGTAAGAGCGCGGAGTCGGGATGTCTGGTGCATCCGGGTCTCCCTCAGGGGCTAGCAGTACAGACGCGAGACGAGGTGAAGCGGCGGCCAGACACTGGAACTCCTCCTGCCTGTCCTCAAGGACGTCCGTGCCAAGGGCACACTCACCCCCGACGGACGGAGGACAGGCGGACTCAGACTCAGTGACAAGACGAGCAGCGTAGTCTAGACGACAGCGCGCAGCAAAGTCGACAAGCTCAGTGACAAGGGCAGACGCAGCAGACGACTCGAAGGAGGGGTCAGTGACAGCAGTAGCCAGGAGACGCGTGACAGTAGGACTGGCAGCACGAAGAGCGTCCGACTCCGGGTCGGCAAGAGCAGGAAGAGAGGAAGCAGGAGGAGAAGGCAAAGGGGCACGCAGAGGAGCAGTGGACGGACGCAGTGACATCCGGTGCGTGCCAGGGACAGGAGGAGGACGCTGACGCGACCCGCGACCACTAGCGCGCTCAGTACGAACTGGCGACACAGGACGAGACGCAGGCTCACGACGCTCAGTAAGACCTCCAGTCGGACCAGCGTAGGGAGAAGGAGCAGGCAAAGGGGAGGCAGGCTGTAGCTGTGGCTGTGACCGGACAGGCTGCGGACCCTCTAAGGGAGGAGGAGGAGGTGTAAGACCAAGAACCTGCTGCAGGAGCGGAACGAAGTACGGTCGGGGCCGCGCGGCGACGCTAGAAACAGCAGGAACAGCACCAGCAGCCCCGGCAGGAGCACCCACTCCAGCAGCACCTCCAGCAGCACCACCAGAAGCTCCAGAACCTCCAGCCGCAGCACCAGGAGCACTGTCAGTCGGGCCGCCAACGGCAGGCTCAGCGCCAACACCCTCAGCAGGACCAGCTCCAGGAGAACTCTCAGACTCAGCAGCTCCAGCACCCACAGTACGAGCGCCGGCGGGGCGCGCAGCAGCAGTACCCTCGGCAGCCGAAGAACCACCAGCACCAGCAGCACGCCTCCAGCGCCCGGCAAACCACTCACGCAGCTCCTGTGGGGAGAGTGGCTCCCGGCGAGACGAAGCACCCCCAGGCACAGCACCTCCAGGCTCAGCACCCCTAGACACAGCACCCCCAGGCACGGCACCCCCAGGCTCAGCACCCCCAGGCTCAGCACCCCCAGGCTCAGCACCCCCAGGCACAGCACCCCCAGACTCGGCACCTCCAGGCTCAGCACCCCCAGGCACAGCACCCCCAGGCTCAGCTCCCCCAGGCTCAGCACCCCCAGACTCGGCACCTCCAGGCTCAGCACCCCCAGACTCCGCACCCCCAGGCTCAGCTCCCGCAGCAGCACCAGAGTTACCAGTGACCTCGACAGGCTCGACCGCGTCTACCTGGGACACACCTGAAGGGGCAGGACCCTGAGGGGGGAGGGGGACTACCGGGGGGGGACCTGGTACCAAGAAGAGCGGGGGTGGGGGGAGGGACGGAGTGCGGTAGGGGAAGAGGCGGTAGTAGGGTACCGACTCGTCGAACGTGACGTCCTGGGAGGACAGAACACGTCGAGAGGTGGGGTGGTAAAACTGCCACCCAGGGGCGTCGGGGGGGAACCCCAGGAAGACGCAGGGAGAAGCACGAGGGGACAGCTTGTCCGCAGACAGGTCGCGAACAAACGCCCGAGATCCCCAGACCCGGAACGCTGACGCATCGCCAACCTTCCCCGTCCACAGCAGGGCTGGGGAGGTCTCCGGTCGAGAGACCCTGGGGTGGAGGTTGATCTGGTGCGCAGCGTACCTGACCGCAAACGGCCACAGAAAATGGGGAGCAGCCGCATGCATCATGGACGTACGAGCGACGTCCATGACCATGCCAATGCGGCGCTCAGCAATCCCATTCTGCTGCGGTGAGTCCGGAAGCGTGAAGGTCTGACGGAT